CCCCCCCCCCCCCCCCCCCCCACCCCCGCCAGAGTGGAAAGCTGCATGGAAAAATACATGCAGGCTCAATGACTGAAATACTGACGACACAACTTCAAAGCTAAAATGTAATCTAGTTAATTTTCACGAAGTGCGTGTGCACAAGAGTATGTTTTTGTGCGTGCCCTAAATGGTTTTTGATTAACTGCCACACATGACTGTCAGAATAAGAAGGAGAAGAAAGACGAGCCGGTCCAGTCCGCTGATGGAACAGCCTACATGGCTCATCACTGACACTAATGGGTCTGATGATGTATGTTACCACTGGGAAGAAATTCTATCAAGTCAGTCCACAACACAGAAATAAAGAAAAGAGCAGAAAATATAACACTAAAACTCTCCCTTAGGTGCTTCTGGTAATATTTTCCTCCACCGACTAATGTACTGTCAATATTAGGTGGTGAAATGTTTATTAACCAAAGGTAGAAGTCGTTTGTTACACTGCATCTGACAAAGAACAGTAATAAAACTGGGAGGGACTGGCACAAGTAAAAAATAAAGGCTAATTATAGTTTTTTGACGTCATTACCAGCGGCTGTTTTCTCTACGACTACGCTGAAACCTCAACATCAAACAAGGCAGTTAAAAGAGACAAAGAGTTCTTCCCATGACATTCCTTCACTTTTGAAACGAACATCAGACTATCAACAGCAATACATTAAAGGAGCCTTTTGGTTGGTGAACGACATATGGCTATTCTGGGTCAAAGAGCTCCTAAGTTCATGAGCAATTTTTCAATTCTACTCTATAATACATCACCTATGTCTCATCTGCTCTCTGGCTAATCTAATAGAAGCCGGCTGCTGGACTCAGGGGGCCAAAATTAGAACCCTGCCAGATCACTAAGGACAAGAGCGTCTTTGTAGGGTGCTCATTTCCTCTCAGCCCGGGCAAATTTAGACGAGGACATATGATAATCTTATCTGAAATGAGATATAAACATAGAGAATACCATGGACCTATTGAATCAAAATGGTGTCTGATGGAAACATGAAGGAAGAGGAAGCCTTTGAATCGTCTCAATACAGCAGTTGTACACTTTTCATCAGGCTCATAATCGCTCCTTAAATATTCCATACAAGATAATCATCTAAAGTACGCCATGTCCACCTGCCTTTAAATGGAGTACACAAAGAAAAATGTAATTTTCTTAATGGTTCCATATGAGATTGCACTTAAAAATATAGCCGCAGAGCTGAGACAGCTAAAAGGAGTTTTGCAAATTAGCCTCTCAGATATGGCTCTGCAGGGTGGCCTGGTGGTGGTGAGGGGGGGGGGGGGGGCCATCTTGTGACATAAAGGTCAGGCAGTAGGTTTGATCCTCCCAGGGGCCCTGTCAAAGTGCCCTTGAAAAAAGGCCTCTACATGTACCTGCTCACTCAGTTTAAGTCAACCTGGAAAAGAGCAAAGGCTCAATGACTGCAGTGTTAAGTACATAGATACATTATGTGTTGTCCTGCATGGATCTGCCGGACCAGTGGCTCTTTAAAGCGACACTGTGTCCCAGGAGGCCGCATAGTGGGGTCTATTTGCATGTATGGTTAGCAGATGGGGGGGGGGGGGGGTTCCATGAGACTGATAGAACTGGATGAAGAAGAAGCTCGCTGCAGCAGAGGTGAGTTAGGTCGACACGCCGCGGAGAGTTTTAAGCGCTGTGGATCGTGATGCTCTACTACAGGATGAGGGGAAAATGGCGTCCTTGCTCTGCGGGTTAGTCTGAAGGGAACAAAGTGACGTGGCTGTGTCGTTCTCCCTTGAAAACGGCTCACTGTGTGTGTCAAGCAGAGCAGGCACACAGTAGCGTCCCCTGATCACATTACTCCCCTTTGCCTGCCTGCTCGGCAGCATCACGTGAGCACCGCCTACATCGACTACACTGCGACATCAATTTGCCTCTAAAGACCGGACTGATCAATCACCTTAAAGGCTCGGGGCTTGTCGGGGCCACTGCATGACAGAGTTTGGTCTACACCAGCAGCTCATTTTCAACCCTCTGACCTCGTTTTTTTGTAAGGCGGCGGGTGGATAAATACTGTCGACCTGCAACAGACGGATGAAGAGCTGAGACAATTTGTGGTGGAGGTTGAGTGTTGGTTTTCATTGTCTCATTGGGAAAATAAAATGCAAGACTTACCTGGAAAGGGCTGTGCCGCCGAATGCAGCCAAAAAACGAAAAAAAAGGATAATTTGCTCTGACAATGCAGTACATTACAGAATGACAACACGCTCGTGTGTGGAAACTCAGAAGTCATGATGAATGGAGAATGTGATACTTGTGTATGCTCTCAACTACAATGTACACTTTAGTGATTTAGTCAGGATGCTTTATACAATCACTCCAATAAACCTAAGTGCATTTCTAAGGGTGAATGCATTAGATTCTGGCCTGAATCAATTCCCTTTGATTGTGTTTATATGCAGCCTGGTCACCTGTTAACAGTGTCGGCAAAGCCACAGCTCAGTAAGAACCCAGGTTACCGTTTGGGGAAGAAAAAAATGTAGATCTCCATTGTGGACTCTCCATTTTTGTGTAGTCTTGTAAAAATAATACTGAAAAATAACAGGGATATTTTATACTCCGTAACATACTGTTTTGGGCAGATTGGAGTAAAAATCTTGCAGCACCGGGACAGGAAACAATTTAAGGCCGACCGTACGAGTAAAAGCAGCAGCAGTGACCTCTTCATTGATAAAAAGCAGAATGTCCTCCACTTTGCAAATACTGTAGACTTTGCAGCCATCCTGTAAATCTGCCCGCATAAACGTCTCTGCATCTAAAACAGTTACATGAAATGTCTGCGCACTCCTGAACACAGGAAGCAGCTCTGTAATTACGGCTTTATCTGCGCTAACACTACCAGCCTACCAATTACGTTGACTGGGTTATAGTGTGACAGAAGAGGCAGGCCTATCTGCACAACAGCAAGCAGATTGGACGTCAAATTGCTGATTACAAGATGAGGACAGGTATAAACATCTACTTTCAGCAGCAGAATTGCATATAAACAGTCAGCCATAAAAAAAATATCCCATTCCAGAAGAGTCCATCTGCAGTTTCCATGTGACTTTAGGCCGGGTAGCAGCCACCAATTAGAGTGATTGGCTTTGCCACGGGCCAATACTAAACCTGTCATTTGAACAATTGAGCCGATGCCAAAGTGAAGATGAAAAATGGCTACACACACAACCAGAATCTGCACACAAAAATCTACAAAGATTATTACCCAAATGGATGGTGGACACCAGAT